CTTGCTCTGTCACCCAGGCTGGAGTGCAGTTGTGTGAACTCAGCTCATTGCGAACTCCGCCTCCTGGGTTCAAGCAATTCTCCTGCCTCAGCCTCCCTAGTAGCTGGGATTACAGGCACCTGCCACAGCGCCCAGCTAATTTTTGTATTTTTAGTAGAGACGGAGTTTCACCATCTTGGCCAGGCTGGCCTTGAACTCCTGATCTCATGATCCGCCTGCTTTGGCCTCCCAAAGTGCTGGGATTACAGGCGTGAGCCACCACCTGGCCTTTTTCATTCTCTTTTTTTTGGTGATCTTAAAGCCTAACAATTAAAAGTATGCCCATTCATCTAAGAAAGAAAAACTATACTTGCCCTTAATTTACCCTAAATAAATCCATAAATAGAAAAAAAAAAAGTATGCCCACACATCTGGACAAGTTGATATATATGGAAAAATAAAAAATAAATAAAAAAATTTAAAAAGCATGCCCACAGGAATCAAGCAGACCTGACCCTGCAACTTACTTTTTTTTTCAAATGAGACAGAGTCTCACTCTGTTGCCCAGGCTGGAGTGCAGTGGCATAATCAGGGCTCACTGCAGCCTCCACTTCCTTGGCTCAAGCGATCCTCCTGCCTCAGCCCCCTGAGTAGCTGGGACTGTAGATGCATGCCACCATGCCCAGCTATTTTTTTGTATTTTTAATAGAGATGGGGTCTTGCTGAGTTTCCCAGGCTGGTCTCAAACTCCTGGACTTAAGTGATCCTCCCGCCTTTACCTCCCAAGGTGCTGGGATTCAGGCATGAGTCATTGTACTTGGCCAACCCTGCCACTTACTAACTGTGTAAGCTTAAGGCAAAGGGCTTCATGACTCAGCGCTTCACTTTCCTCACCTGCAAAATGGGAATGAAAGCCACTGACCTTATGAGTTGTTCCAAGGTGTAAATAATATCAGGCGTGCAAATCCCTTTGCACAGGGCTGGGCACACAGCAATGACTTAATAAGTGCAGCTATTGTTATTAACATCATCACCATCATCATAACCACCACCACCACCATCATCTTCACCACCACCACCACCACCATCATCACCATCACCACCATCATCACCACCACCACCACCACCATCATCACCATCACCACCACCATCACCACCACCACCATCATCATCATCACCATCATCACCATCATCATCACCACCACTACCATCATCACCACCACCACCATCACCATCACCACCATCATCATCATCACCATCACCACCACCACCATCACCATCACCA